GCTTCAGGTCAAGGTGCTTGCAGTTTAATGACTTGTGCTAGGTCATTCATGGCGCTCAAAGCTGCCAAAAATTGAACAGGTTAACGACGTGCCAAGGTCATGTAAATGCATGATTTGTAAAAAGAGACATTTAAGGCCCTGCCACGGCCCTTCAGTATCACTCCGAATACTGGGCTTCACCAGTTGTCGAACACTGTCGTTGGTCGTTGTCGAATTCACACGTTCTTGTCGTGCCTCCATGGATGCTTCCACTGTGCCATGAGGGCAGTGAAGTACCAAGTTCGAAACTCAATCAGTATATGTTCTTTATTACATAATCTTGCAAAGTCACGTGCCATAGGGCGCTCAAAGCTGCTCAGGTCCAAATACTTTTTAGAAACAAGGGTTTTGTTTCAGGGACTATGCTTGCCCTTACTTCACTAAAGTATTTAGAAACAGAAATTTGTTTCAGGGACAGCATCTGCCCTATTTGTCACAGTATATTTCACAGTATACTATGCAAATAGATATTCGATCGAGTGAAGATTTGGTATGCAAGATTTGATCAAATATTTTGGCTAGTCAAGTGTCATGCACTTCTTCAGATTTGATAACTCCACAATCTGGGTTGGCTTTATTTGGTTTCTAATCATTTTAAGGAAAAACAGTGGTTCTTTGTGATGTAAGAACTAGTATGAATGCAATCTCGGTTGGCTATCACTATGCTCAGTTGGATTGTTTTCTGCTTGCCTTCGCAGTATTCTATACTAATTTCCTGATTTAGAAATATCATTGTCAAGTGAATAATGAGCTTGCTGCGACAGTGGAGTTTGTCAACAACAGTCTACATCATCATGAACTAGATATGGGTGACTGCCATAAATGTGATGCAGTTTAATTGTCATGCTCAGGACTAAATGTCGCATCAATCAATGTTATAAGCTTTAAAGGGCTTAAGCAGTCTGTCAAGATGCTAGCCGAGCCTTGAAAGATACTCGCATTACCATGGATATCTGATGACTAGTCAGACACTTGCATGAAAAGACTAGTGTGTTCACTTGTCTACATGGTAAGCTTGATGTGCTAAATAGCACACCCCCTAATCTATGATTGGGTTAGAGCTTGTGAGGAGCACCCCCTAATCTATGATTGGGTGTTTCCTTTCCCTATAGATCTATGTCTATATTTTCTCCATATCACCCCCACATTTCACAAGTCAGGTCCATCGTCGGGAGACCGTGTGGAATGTACAGCATAATGGCCGTGTCGTCAAGCAACAGGAGGGCAGGAGGGTGGGCAAAGAAAAAATGATAGTTTAATGACATTTCGGTCGTTGAGAGTGTACATTTTTATGTAGATCAATGTCTCATGAATGTACAATGGTTTCCCTTCCAAATTTTGTCCAAAGGTGTCAACACAAAGGTGCATATGGGATGAACAATCCAGTTTCAAGTGTCAAGCACCTGCGTGAATCATTCTATGCAACCATAAACTCATGAATAATTTTTCAAGAATTTATACAAGGATAATATACGTATATAAAATCAACATGTATGGGATAGTGTCGACGTCAGTCTGTGACTGGAGGATCAAATGAAGGGAAAAATAAATGTAAGTTGCTTTCCCTTAAAAGGTACTAATCAACAAACATGTGTATTTATATAGCGCCCATACAGGCGCAAAAATGCCCAATTTATTTTTGGAGTTTCTCAATAAGGTACTTATCACAAATAATAAATGTTATGGTTTCCCAATAGGGGAATACCAAAATGGGTAACTGGTCAGGTGACCTAGTTGAGCGCTAAAGAGCGCAGTTGCAGGGTGTCAAGGTTGAAGCAGGGC